CTTTTACATATTTTTATATGAGAAGCAATATAATAAAAAGTACCTTTTCTGGGAATTAAAGCTCTTAGTCTGATTTATTCCAAGATTACTTGTAGGGTAAATTTTACCAACAATGTTGTATAGTGCATTCTCTCTGTGTTTTCAATTTCTAATGCAAAAGTATGGAGTTTCTTGCCAAAATATTTTGAAAATAAAAAAGAGAATTTAGTAAAATGATAACAGTCTAGACTTTCTACAACCCAATGGTAAATATTGTCAAATATACTCTCAGAAAAGCTTTTCAGGAACCGTATTTAACTTAAGACTTCAAAAATTTGAATTATATTCAATTACACTGTATTTAACTCAAGAATGTATTCAATTTTTCAAAGTTACAAATAGAACATGTTTGTTTTCAGGGTTTGTGGGAACACTCCATATTATTATTTTTGTTGGTACTGAGGTTGAGATGGTTGTATGATTTTGCATTGTGGATACCGTTTTTTTTTTTTCTGGTTTTAGAGCAATATGCCATGTGTGGGGTGGGGGGACTACTTTCCTATAGAAAAGTAGTATAAGTCATCAAAAACAGAAGTTTATTTGTGAAGGTTGTGGTTGGAAAACTGGTCACTATTCATTTTTTGAGATTTTGAAAAGTCCCTTTTCTACCACTTATTTCCACAAAGGATAAAATCACGTGAATTGGGATATACACAATCATACCATATTTTTCCAGTTGGGAAATATTATTCTGATTAGGCCTTACTGACTCTTAAAATATAATGCATGGAGATGTGTATATACACACACACATGCACACGTATACATTTGGTTCATATATATATGTGTGGTTCAACTAGCATTTTTCCAATTAATATACTTTAATATGTTATTCAGTTATTTAGATGGATGTCATTTACCAATTTTCTCAGTGATATCGTTTTCTAAGAATGTATAGAAACAAAAAAACGTAGTAGAATTTGCTTCTTGAAGCCATACAAGCAAAACAGGGGTATTTTTAATTGATTCAAATTGTACTGGGCAGGAGAAATGACTAGACTGGAAATGCCCTCAGGTAGTCTCCCCAGCACCAGGTTAAACAGTCATAGGCAGATGGGTGGCCTCCGTTAGGAACCCTAAGCTTACTTGGGCAGGGTAGTTTGGGCTTGGTGTGGGGGCATAAATGTGGGGCTCCAAGTGCTACGTGCACCCGACATAATTAGAACAGCCCAGTTTGGAGACCCTTGTGGAATTTTCACTCTGCTGTCTGGGAATTAATGTCCTGGGGCTCCCTTCTTCAAGCTTGTCAGAGCATCCAGAGAAAACTTACCACCCTCACACAAAAGGACTATTGAAGGGGCCATGAGTCAACTGGAAAACATACATGGCACTTTCTCAACTTGTTTCTTTCCGTTGCTGCAAAATAGAATGCCTTTTAATTTGGATTTCCACTCAACAAAAGAAAGGCATCACATTGACAAGCATTTACAAGTGGGCCTTAAGGCAAGGAGGAGTCCAGTTCATTAGGAACTAAATTCTTAATAAACACCTCCATGGGCAGATCCAGTACATAAAATTCAAGCTGAATTATTTTGTGTGTATTTTACACCTACATGAACTCTTGAGACTCTCAAGGTTGTGAAAGACCCTTGGAAAAGATGGAGGGAGGGGGTTCCTGCTCTATTTTCAGGGGGAGATATTCCTCGGCCACATCCTTGGGCATGTGAGGATGACTGCTCAATGAAACTAATCCTATACTGCATGTTGCACATAACATGTGCTTGTATCTTAGTAAGTCAGTATAGTTGAGTCAAAGAACTATGTGTAAACAATAGAAAAAAATTGCCCCTGGCAGATTGCAAAGGGAAATTCTGTTTCCAGTTTATTCTTTAATTGAGCTCTGTGTAAAATACATGAAGGGATTCCGAAACCTCTCTCTCTCTCTCTCTCCAGCTAATGCTGTTTTCCAGTCCCTGAGCTGCCAATGTACCATGAGAAATCCACTCATTGATATGACAGAAAAGGCAGTTGTACAGCAGAAATGGTATGGTCTGTTGCAATAAATTACAGGTTTCCTTTTCATGTTCAGCATAAGAGGCGGCCCTCATGCAATTAGCTACAGCTGGTTAAAGAAAGAAAACATGCATCTGCACACAGATCAGACTGCAAACCAACTCTTATTTTCTGGCATATATCACTATAGGAACAGAAAAAGAGACCTGATTTTGTTTCCTGAGCATAAGCCATTTTTAAAACTTGTACTTCCCCCTTCTGAATCATCAAGACAGTATACCATTTGGGGAAATAAATCTACAGTCACGTTTTTTTCCCTTAAGGTCACTGGCTATGACAAAAAGTTGAGTGCCTGCCACTTGATTCTTGTCTTCTTAGGCCTCACAAAATCTGTTTTCAGAATCCCTTAGCCTCATGTCTACTCTTAATTATATAGTTACCACTGTGTGCTATTCTCTGACTTGCAGTTTGTATTAGTAGGCTAGGGTCCTTTTAGAAAGATTTGATATGTTTTATATCTTTCTGCTATTGTTCAATGATAATTTTCCTGATACAATTTTTACTTTATTTCAGAAAAATGAAACATGCAGGATCTCTCAAGAACCATTCTAATTACATATGTATGGGGCACTGGGTCATAAATATATTAATATATATTCATCTTACTCTATTATATAAAAGATATAAAGATACTTTAGTATTTTTATACTTTAGTATCTGCACCAAATGAATAGTTTATCCTCCTACAGACAACCTAACAAAATACTGGTTATCATCAGATCAAAGAAGTTATAGACACAAGTCTTCTGTAATGCATGTACATTCTAATAATTCACTTCTTCATTCTAGCTATATTTATTCTGCAAAGAAAATCAACCCTAGGAAGTCTTGACCCCTGCTAGACCTGATTTTAGTGTAACATAATTTTTTCATCATTTCAATATTGAAAGCATACCTATTCTTCCCAATCTTAGTCAAGGAAATCCATATTATAAATGAATGAGGTTAAAAGTCAAGAAATCAAGGCAAAATCATAATAGTAAAATTGTCCACATTCATCTTCTGGAACTTTTGGGAGCCCATATAGGGTTATTAACAATCCATTTAGACATATTCGAATCTTATGAAAGTAAGAAGAGGTTTTGCCTTGGTGTCTGTCTTTTTGTTCAACACAGAAAAGAGAAATCTTAATGGAAATCATCTGTAATTACTAATTCCCCCCAAATTGGCTGTGTTTGTTTTACAGAAAAGCAGTAAAGCTACTGATGTTTAAAGAGGGGTGGGGGGAAGAGGGAAAAAATAACTTGACAGTTCAGCTGAAGATCACAGGGCATTTGTTAAGATGTCCCCAGAGCATTTGTCTGAAGATTTATTTTTAAAGCTGTGCTTAAGAGTAAAAAAGCTGCTTCCCAGCTTCCCTCCCTTCTGTTGCAACCAACCTTACTGTGCCATCAAAACAAAGAAAACAATGATTCCCATATTTTTGTTTCATTAGGTTTAAGAAAGACACATACAGATGGAACACCCTTTAAACAACTTAATAGCAGCAAGTCAATACTACATGTTTAGAAGAAAGGAAAGGAACCAGAGTGTGTGCCCAGACAACAAATTTCTATAATCTCAAAACCTGTAATTTACTTGAGAATGTGCGGTTTCCTTGAACTGGACTTCCAGACTCCTTGTGTAATGAGCAACTTAAGTGTGAATGGAAACAGGTTGGGGTAGGTGAGGGTATGATGAGATGTGAAGGCAAAACTATGAGAATAAACAATATCTTTTGAATCTTTTCAAATTAATTCTTCTTTTCCCCTTAAGAGAAACAAATTTTCCTCTTGCAGAAGGAATAGGCTACAGAGACACTCCCCCATGCCAACTGCCAAAAATTACATTTAACTGATATCTATTTAGTAAAAATCATCTTCCAATAAAAGCAAAAGCACTGTGGAGTGAAAATAAGGAAAATTAACATGTAAACAATTACAAAGACCTACTGGGAATCATGGCTATTGAACTGTCAGAGGAAATAACCAATTTGTTAACCTTGGAGACATTTCAAACCAAGGAGGACAAAACATTAAAATAAGTATTAATATCTAAAAATAGCAATGGTAAGATAAGAGTCTTTCTCTTTATTTAGGAGTTTAAAATTAGTAAATATTTTATTCTGGCCATTTTTGAAAACGATTTAGTCCAACAAAGATAACAAATTATGAAATTGTTGAATTTATTCAACAATTATTGAATAATTCAACAATTATTTATTGTTTCCTGACAGTCACAGCAATCATATAGGAAATAGCCTGGATGCACAATATCTTTTATTTACACCTGGAGAAAAATAACACAGAGTTTCTTAATGATATTATTTTAATTATTTCAGAAGTTTTTTGATAGTGCCTGAGGATCAGGTCACAAAACACAGGAGAAAAGGTCACCAAACCCCCAAGCCCAGAACCTCAAACTACTCAATAGGTGATGTGAACTGATAGTTTGATAAGGTTAGCATTTCCTTTTAAAGAACCCCTAAAGAGGAGACTGAGTTGCAGGTGAGGATGAAAAAGTTCATACCTTACCAAAGCCCCACTACAAGTTGTTCATGCCAGAGCCTTAAATTTGTTCACACAACAAAATGTATTGAGGGCCTACTATTGCCAGGCATTCTGCTGAGGTACAAAAGTAAACAAAGTAAACAGAAAATAAATAGTAAACATGACATATAAATAAATTGTATAGTATGTTAGAGGGTGGTGAGTGCTATGAGAAGAAGAAAAATTAGAGCAGGATAAGGGAGATCAGGAGGTTGTCTTGGGAGTATGTTTAATTAGGTTGGCCAGGGAAAACCTCACTGAAAAAATGACATTTGAGCACAGCCCTGAAGGAAGTGAGGGAGTTAGACAGGGTTTCTCAACCTCAGTACTCCAATGACATCACAGGCAATATGGTTCTCTGCAGTGGGGACTGTCTGAGGCATTCATTCTAGGATGTTTAGCAGCATTCCTGGCCTCTACCTGCTAGATGCCAGCAGCATATCACAGCCACCCCAGTGATGACCAAGAATGTCATCAAACGTCCTCTGGAGGAAGAGTAGATCCCTGTGGAGAACCACTGATCTGGCTGGAGGCAGGAGCTCACCTAGTAGGGTTAAGAAACAAAAGGAAGTCAACTGTGGCTAGAGTGGACCAAAGGAGGCAGGGGAGGTGGAGCTAAAATCAGAGAGGTGAGGACTGCACTGTAGGCCATTGTAGGTCCTTTATCTTTTACTCTGAATGAAATGGGAAGTCATTGGAGGATTTTAAAAGAAGAACACACTGAGGGAAATGAGTGAGCAACAAGAGAAACAGGGAGATCACAGTTCAAAGGCTCTTACTACTCCCCTAGCAAAGGATGATGGCAGCACCTACCAAGGGAATAAGAAGTAATCTGATGTGGGATATATTTTTAGCTTAATGAATGGGATTTCCTATTATATGAAAGAAGTGGGCTTGAGAAAGAGAGCAGTTAAAGATCCCTTCACCACTGGAAGCATGGATGTGCCATTAGTGAGCTGAGAACTGCAGAAGAGAGAGCAGATTTGGGAGGGTGGATCAGAGAATTCATTTTCAGTCATTCCTTGGATGGAAGAGGCAGGAGAAAGTGTATTTTTGTGTATGTCATTATGCTTTAAATCAAAGCAGTGGTTAAAATTTCACATGTGCATGTAATAATGGGTAAGAAGAGAGAGGGGAAAAAGCCTTATCTTAATGCAGAATCTATGTAAATGCTTCCTTTTGGTGCTAAAGGACAGAATTTTCTTAACGAATGTTTTTCCTAATACAAGAATCTCAATGTAGACATGCCATGTGTGCACCTGCCCTATGAACAAACATTTCTTGGTTTGAGTACATTTCAAGAGATGTCTCAATAATGCTACACGTTATTTTTCTTTTCTAAAGAGAAACTATAATTATTTTAAAATAAGTGTTCTTACCAGTGGAGATCTGGACTAGTAGAGATGTGCTCCTTCAGGACTTAGTTCTTGCTTCTCTCTCAGTAGTGACCATGTTGTATCGTCATTTGTCTGGGGTCTTGCATGTCATCCCCACTGGACTCTGAGGTGTTTAAGAACACAGGCTGGAATGCATGTACCTCTATATTCCCAATGCCTGTCACATAATAGATATTCAATAAATATCAAATATATGAATGAGTAGATAAAGGAATGATTACAAAGAAGCCAAATATGGTGGTATACATTTACAATATGGCATTAGACATACAAACCAATCCCAGGAAGGCAAAAGCCACATCTCATGTCCCTGTGCACTGCCTTCTCTTTCCTTCCCTCTTTCCTCCCTGTTCTTCCTGCCTGGTCTGGTGGAAGGTGGCAGACTCAGAAATCAGTTAGAACTGAGCTAGACTCTCAGCTCTCCCACTGACTAGTTATGTGAATGTGGACAAATGACCACGTGAAAAGTCAGTGCTAGATTGCTTGGTAGGCAGAATAGTTCCCACCTAGACCTCTAGTGGAGCAACAGCTGAGTATCTATAATTTTACAGTCAGAAAAATCTTTAAATCCAAAAGTAGTTCTTTTAATTCCCACATACATATATTTAATTTTCACATTAGTTACACAGTCTAGGGGGTGGCAGGACCTCTAAATGTCATTGTCCTCTGACTGCACTGTTTAGATCCTTGAGACACAGTGAAGAGGACAGACCTGGCCTTGCCTGCATAAAGCTTTCTGCCCAGTGAGGAAGGCAGACTTCAAACAAATAACTACATAGGATAGTTATTTATCTGTGGTTGTGGTAAGTTCTGGAAAGGAAAAACCTATGGGAATCCAGCCAAATTTAGGGGGAAGGTGGGTGGGAATCTTTTCCGAAGAAGTCACATTTTAGCTAAAAACTGAAGGTGAGTTGGAGTTAGGGGTGGCATGCGTACAGGGGAGGGAAGAAGCTAGGGGACAGGAGAGCTGGGGAAAAAGAGTGCTCCAAATGTAAGGAGCTGAAGGAGCCCAGTTAAAGGCCTGGGCTTCTGAACATCTGTTTCAATGAAATCAATATAATACTCATCCGAGGTCCTCAGTTGATGTTGGATGGATGAATGAGTTCTTAGAACCCCTCATTCTGCTAGCTACACATCACACACCTCACACACAGGCTCTCACATACCCGCTAAAATTCTGCTACAAGTTGACCACCTAAAAGACCCACATTCTAAGGAACTCAGGCTTCTGGTTTGCTGGTATTCTCATGGCCACTTTGTCTTTCATCTAAGCTCTTCTGAGTCGCTCTTCAGACCATGAGGCACTTGACAGTGATTTGTGATGTAAATAAGATTCCATCATTCACCTGTAGTTGGCCCTAGCTGGTCTAGCTTTCCTAGTGTGTGCTGTAGATTTGTGACTGGTGAGGTCACTGATTCATTGGGTGGTTGCGGCTACTGTTGCTCATATGAAATTACAGCTAAACCTTGTAATCCTGGTGTCTGCTTTTGTTTTGCCTTTAATAAAGCCTATAGACTAGAGGTCTTTTTCAAAGCTTTAATGGTTTTTCTCTTTAGCTCAGAGGAAACTAAATGAAAGGGGCACTTCCCTTTTATTTAAAGAATCATTAGAGCTAAATGGGCTCAACCAAATGAGGAAAATAAAACATGAAGACCTATTCTAGCAGTCACCTCTTCGTTCCCTGGTGCTTTGACTAGAGGCCCTGTGGCTCATGTATTTATGTTAACTCTATCATAAAATATGATCTTTATTGCAACTTGCCATATAAAGTTTCAGCTCGGGGGCAAATCTTTCCCTCCCCAGACTACATTTGCAAACTAGCTTCTTTTGAAAACCATTCAAATATTAAGGAAGACACAATTGACAGCTTACATCCTAATCCATTCTTCTGTTATAGTCACTTCAGTACCATTATGAAAAGGGAAAAATAATCTGGCAAGAAATTTTCCCAAGTCATCATAAGTTTCTCTCATAATTTTGAAAGTGAAATTGCCAAGATATTTAGAGGGTTTATGAATTGTTTGAATTCTTCCAAGTTTCACATATTCTCTACACATTGTCAGAAAGACTTCAGGCATTCCCATCACTATGGATAACCAACTAATTGTGCACATTTGTAAGCTGTCAGCTTTTCTACATTTCTCTCTGAAATTTTAAAAATCTAATTTAATCACCCAGACTACAAGGGGGAAAAAGGAGCATTTTATATTACACAACAAACTAAAACTAAATAGCAAGTCTGGAAAATGCAACCGCAGCATGTTGTTCATTCAATCCATATTGAGTGTGAACAATGTACATGCCACTCTAGAGGAATACAGAAAAATAATAAACATATCATTCCTACTTTCAGGAGCGTATGATCTAACTGAAAAGAAATGCAAAGATGTTACATAGCATTATGACATTTAATTTTCTCTGCTGAGGATAACTAGTCAGAGGAGGCAGGTGTTTCTCTGTGTCCTGGCTGTCTTTACACGTAAGGTACACTAAGATGTATGCCCCGATGCCAGCTTCTCCACTGGTCCCCTTGGAATTACACCTCTTGGCTTTGGAGTGCATCCAGGCTTGTCTGCCTTGCATGTTTCAACAGCTCTGGCCATGAAGTTCTGCTGATAATGAGCAGATTCCAATCCCTCCTCCTCCTCACCATCAAGTAACCTTTATAGAGCACCACAAGGAGCAGTAATAGAGGCTATTCAGACTCAAAGGGGCTGAAGGAGTCAATGAAAAGCCTGGATCAGTCATTCAAAGATGTTTCATGTCAATGACTCTGCCCAGGGAGTAGAAGTACAAGTAGGCGTCCAAGATATTTCAAAACCCTCTGAGGAAACGGCATGGTGTTGCGGCCTGACCCTCAACTCTAAAAGAATCTTCACTGCTTTCAAATTTGAGGCTTCTGAGGTGATAATCTTAATTTGCCCCTAAAACTCCCACACAATAAGATTTTTGCCCAACTTAGAAATTCATTGTTATCAGTAAAATTCTCTTATTATGTAATAACATGTATTTGACTTAGTGATAAAATTACAAAGATGCTAAAAAATAACTGAAGAAAGAAAAGATGATTTTAGGGAACTGGAGGAGAATAGCGTTAATTGCAGCACATTTTTCAAACTGTAGGTTGAGAATCTTTAGTAGAGGTGGCAGGTAAAATCAATTTGATACAACCAAACACTTTTTAAAAAATGAAATGGAATTTAAGAGAAAAGAAGAAAAAAGAAAATATCACAGCATACTTCATAAGAGTAAACATTATCTTCTAAAAGTTTTGTTTCAGTTGTGTCTGTGTGTATGTGAAATCACAATGTCAAATGTATTTCTCACTATGGGTCATGGTGAAAAACATTTGAAAAGCACTATCTTATATCACTGCTTCAAGACCATCATCAAGCTAAATTCCTTTAAAACAAACAAACAAACAAACAAACACAACCAAGCCACTGTTGGTATGACACTTGGATCTGCCCCATGGTCACATCCCAACTCCAAGCCATGGCAGTGGCTCCAGAATGCCATTTATTCCATGGAATGGGACAAGCACATACTAAAACAAAGAGACACTGAAGCTCAGCTAATGCTCCCAGCCAGATCACTGTATAACGATCTGGACATTTGCTTTGATGCTTTCTAATACTATTACAATAATAATTAATATGGACTAAGTACTTACTGTATGCTTTATATGCATTATCTCACTTAATGTTTCACATCAATCTTCTAAGTTAGGTTCCAATATCATTCCCATTTTCAAATGGCAAAACTGAGATTCAAAAGGCCAAATAATTTGCTCACGGCCCACACAGTGGTGGAGCCAACGCTCAAATCCAAACCTGATGACACAATATTGCTGTCCTTCATGGTGTTGTTCATGTAGAAAAGGCTGTTGACTCTTTGAACACTTCCTTTTCTTTGCGTATTAGGCCAATTGGTCATAAAAGCAAACAGTAATGAATGTCTTCTTCATCTTTTACCTCTATTTAAAAATTCTTCCTATTAAATTTGCACCCCAAAGGCACTGGAAATTTTCAATAAACTAAGTATCAACATTCACAGCAGTGCATACTGATGCACTGATGGATAGACTTGGCTAATGTACTGCACAGTGATCATTTGTCAGTACACTGTACTCATCTGAATACAGTTTTAATACAATTGGAAAAAATAAATTTGGCTTGAGAAGCAAAACAAAAAGGTTTTAAAAATCTGTTATTATATTTTATTGTCCCTCTGCTTTAATGCTTTAAATAGATGTCTATATCATATTTGTAAATAATTATTCTTTTAGATATAAGATTAGAAATTGTAGCTCTTTAAACTTTCCTTTATACTCTGAATTGTATGTCTTGTTCTTTATTTGTCCTAATTTTTTCTCATTAAAAAAAAATCCCTTCAACTTCTGATTGTGTTTTGTAGATATTTAGAGATCTGGTTTACTTTAAAACAATGAAGCAGACAGAAGCCCCTGAGGGTAGTTCATAGAGAACCAGGAGGTCTAGTGACTCAATTAATCTGGCAAGAAATCAATAGAAACAGAAGAGAAGAGGAAAAAAAACAATAATTAAAACATTCTGTCAAAAAATAGAATAGTAATTAAAAGATGTGAACTATTGTTTTGTCCTACTAATTACATTTTAATTTTCAATAGATTGCTAAAGACCATTAAAAAAAACCTTGGTTTTGTATCCTGAGACTTTACTAAATTCATTTATGAGTTCCAGGAGTTTCTTGGTTAAATCTTTGGGGTTTTCTAAATATAATATCATATCATCAGCAAACAGTGAAAGTTTGATCTCTTCTGCCCCTATTTGGATACCTTAATTCCACTTTCCTGTCTGATTGCTGTAGCCAAGACTTCCAGCACTATATTGAATAGAAGTGGAGATAGTGGGCAGCCTTGTCTGGTTCCAGTTCTGAGTGGGAATGCTTTCAATTTTTCCCCATTCAGTATGATGTTGGCTATGGGTCTGTCATATATGGCTTGTATCATTTTTAGGTATGTCCCTTCTATGCCTATTTTATTAAGAGGCATTCATATATGCCAAAAACAATCAAATTGAGAACCAAATCAAAGACTCAATTCCCTTCACAAAAGCAACAAAGAAATTAAAGTACCTATACTTAACCAAGGAGGTAAAAGATCTCTACAGGGAAAA